AAAAAGTTTTGTAGTATCCGTATCACTGCTGATCTTACCTTCCACCTATGCGCTAGTACCTGAAAAAGGAATATGAATTTGTAATCACTGCATAAAATTGTCACTTCGCCTGCAAGTTCTATTTTACTAGTCTTTCTAGGAAAAAATATAAAATAATAAATCACAAACCTTGTATGACAAGAAAACAGGGTCAAATGATCAATAAATCTTGAAATATCAAGAAGAAACCTCTTCAGCAACACTCTAGCACCGCCCGCCCCAGATGTAATGTTATGTGGCAAAAGAGCAAACATACTAACACTCTATAAATTTACTCCTCTTCCCTTCCCTTCATGCATTGTTCTTAACTGCTGGCTTTTTTTTTCTTTATCCATCAGATAATCTTAAAGATTTTCATGATCGTTTGGGGAAAAATCCCATTTAAATATTTATATTTCGAAAAATTCAGGTGACAATTAGAATAACTGAGTTCTTTTAGTCATGACTAACTGACATAGGTTTTTCCTTCTAGCTGATGGGTAATTTATCAAGTTTGGTTACCATACCCCGCAAATTTTAGGATCCTAATGAAAAATTTCAAAATAATCAAATTATGTGAAGATTTTTCTATATCAAATCATCCATCCCTCCTTATTAAGATGTCCCAACAAGCAGAAAGACGATCCTCTTTGCCACCAAATGTTACACCAATCGTACAGGAACCGCAAGAGCAAAAAACAACAGGTTTGTGCTCCTTTTTCCCCATAATGTTGACATGATCAAGTTCTAGCGAAAGTACATATCAAATATTTGAGAGTTTCCAAGAATAAAACCATATGAATGTGTGCGGTTTCAAGCACACTTTATCATTATAAATGTGTATTTCAAATGTAAAACTGTTTATATGGGTAAATTCGGGCGGTAGCTAGAAAACCTTTCGAAGATCTATTGCTTTTCTTCTTCTTTAAAGAAGTGAAACGATCAAGTGGCGATGAAGTTGACGAGGAGAAAACGACTGAAAGCGACAACAAGCTGGCTATGGAATCGCAATCTACTGATCCTGAACAGATTCATTATCCACCGGGTAGAACTATCCTTGTTGGGGACATTGTCCGGAAGCCAAGTGTCCTTGAAGAGACGTCTTTCAACACAGGTCTGTTCTCTGCTCTCTCTGTTCTCACATTTCGCTTTGAGTTAAGTGTCGACAAATCATTCGGGCCATTACAGATCATCTCTCGCCGATAAGCGATGTTTCAAAGGCCTATACCCAACGCCTTTCCCAGTTGAAGAGCGAACTTGGCTTGGATGAGATGGGTAACTCCAGCGCAGAACAAAAGGAAGACTCTAAAGAAGAGGAGCAGGCACCCCCTCGTGATGAGCCTGAACGGGTAGAGTCCAACTCTCGGCCCACCTTCTATCAGGAAGAACCGGATGGCTCATGTGACGAGAACGCTCAGAAACACAAACCGATGAGCGATGAGGCGCTCGTCGACGCGATGTTCAACCCGGTGTTCGAGGGCGAGTCGAGCGAGATGGCGAGTCTGGCAGCGGCCTCCTCATCGCAAACCCTCAATACTCAGGATCGTCAAGGAGCGGAGAAGAGCGACGATTCCGGCGAGCATAAGCAGAGCTCAGGTTTTGATGATTGGTACGATAACCCTACTGCGCCACCATCGGAGGAGAATGAGGTGAAAGACTTCGTTGAGGAGATTCTCAGCCAATCCATGGATGAAGCGATGTTTTCAGCTTCGAAAAGTTTACGAAATAAGGAGCAGATGAAGCAGGAATATCTGAAACATACGGACACGTCTTTCGATAAAAAATCGCACCCAGATTTGGAGCCAGACACATCCCCAAGTGAAGAGATAAAGGACCCTCTTATCGAGGCTGTTTTTACATCCACCATTGACAAGGATCAATTTATGGAATCAGTAATTTCGTACCCAGCATCAACCTCCTCATCTCGTGTCACCTCCTCAGTCACTACCCCAGGTGTAAACCGAACTCTTGACGACTCAGAGGTCTTTT